ACAAGGGGCAGAAAGGGACTCATTGTTTTGGGCTAAGTTGTAACTATAGTGTGTTTTCTTTCTTTCTTTTTTTCCTTTTCTTGAGGTTCTTTGTTGCTCTTGGAAGATAAGCGTGTTTGTCTTCCTATTGTAAATATTCTATTGATGAGTTAATGAAAGTGTTATTGATCAAAAAAAAATGCCCACAAATGCATGAAATAACAAAACATATCGAAGTCGACAAACATTTCATTTGTTAGAAGCTTGAAGCTAGGGAAGTCTGCATTCCTGATGTAAACTCTATGGATCAGTTGGGTGGCATTTTCACCAAGGGTGTTTCAGGTACATGACACACGGATATCTGTACCAAGTTGGGGATGATAGATATATACAGCCCAACTTGAGGGGGATGTTAGGAATGTTATTAGGACGTTTTTGGGCTGTTAGTGGGCCTGTTTTATACGTTTTCTATGTTAAGTTGTAATCAGGGTATTCTTGTAATATCCCCTTCTATTTGGATGCCCTAATATATAAGTCAAGTGGGGTGCCGCCCCCAACACTTTTTTTTGGCAATCCACTCTTTCCTGCTCTCTTCTTCTCCTTTCTTTCTTCTTTTCCTTTCCAAAAGGTTTATGCTCCCTTCTGCAGGCTGTGTATGTTTTCTCTTTCTCAATGTGCTCAGAGGTACAGTAATGAGTACATGCCCCCCACCACCTCAATTAGTTTATTATACTTTAATAAGATTTGTTAGGCCACCCCACTTCAGGTAAATTTACAGAGAGAGAGCCTACTACAAGAACATCTAACCAAATAAACACGTTGGAACCACCAAGAGAGAGATAATAAGCAACAAACTGAATATATATATATATGGAAACAAAGCAACAACAGCACAAAAAGTGAAGAAAAAATAGTGGATCCACTCCAGGTAACATTATAAGCTCGACTTCAATTGACTTTTTAATCAGGGTTCCATTATTTTGATAGGTGCATTCTATTGAGATCATTAATGGTTTCCTAAATGAACCCAAGCTTTATGAGACTATAATATGTTTCAATTCCTAAAAGTGGTTTGTGGTCATGCACATTATTGTTCAATCACATTACTGTTGCACAAACAATTATAAAAAGAATGTCACATATAAAGAAAGTTAACAATTACACCAATAGAATAGTTAACAAAGCCCACCTCATACAAAGTTAAATCATTTCCACCTGTGATGTTCCATACTATTCCAGTAGCCCTTTCTATACCAATATCCAGTAAAGGTGATTGGATGGCATTCAATGCAGCATCCCTTGCCCTAGTCTTGCCTGCAAAGAAGACAAGCATCACCAAACCAAAAATGTTTGAAGCATGAAAGAGAGGAAATTTCAATCCTGGCTTGAGTTGCTAGACAAAGAGGAAGGCTTTAGCATATTAAGCACAAAGTTCCTGAAAAATGGCATAGCTATATTGAAAAGTTATTACAAGACACTTGAATAACAATACCGCAGCAAAATATTGTTTCCCCTAATTTATTAGAACATATAACATAGTGGTCCTTTTACAAAGTTGACAACTTCATATAATAACTTTTTACAAAGATCAAATGAAGTTATCTAAATAAAAGATGGTAATTGATAGGGCTACTTCCGTGTAGTATCTTGAACATTTTTCATTTCAGATATTATTTACATCAGTTGCATCTTCAAACTTTTATCATGTTAGTAGATATTGACTAATTAAATTTTTTTTCTTTCTTTTTTTTTTTTTTTGAGATCACCTCTCCAAAACCTGTATAGTAGTTTGACATTACAAGTGCTATTAAAGACAACAATATTGTGGCATCTAGTTCTCCGCCATGCATGATGTGAACTATACTAGAACGAATCATCCACTGAAGCCAACAAGCCCATACTTGCACCAGTCATGCTCAAATTTTCCTACCTTATCAACCAAGCTCCAATTTCTATTGACAGGAAGATTATAAGTGACTGAATGTGATTTCAATGTTATGGTGAATAGAAGTAGTGACCTTTTTATTAGAGTACCCACCTAAAGCAAATGTCCTATTTAGAAATCTCTCTTTTTTTTTTATCAGAAACGATAACTTTCATTAGAGATAAATTAAACTGGAATACAGAAGTCAACCCTTATTAGAAAAGGTTGATCCAATAAACATCAAACATTACAGCA